ATTAGATTAGGTCAATTTAGGTCATATGCCCCCTCCTGGACAAAAAAAAAAAAAAAAAAAAGAAAAGAAAAGAAAAGAAAAGAAAAGAAAAGAAAAGAAAAGAAAAGAAAAATCATTGTATTCCCTAAATGACTTTTAGATGACTGGGACCCACATCCCCAATACAGTTTCCTCTAAGTCATATGAGATACACAGAAAAGAGGTAGATACCTGAATAAAGTCAGGACACTATTAATGAGGAAGACAGAGGGATGAGGTGCTTGGTTTGATTAGGCAACCAAAGGTATTCAAGTTTACCCAGCTAGCAAGAGATAAAGCCAAGATACATGTCCAAGTCCAAAGGACTCAAGACTCTTACATCACTACAATACAATGTAGGGTAGAGTGTATAGGGCTGGGACTAGGACCCAAAGCTGTTCGTTACCAGTTTGCCTATGTATGTCTTTTTTTTTTTTTTGGTGGCATTTTTTATTTATTATTTATTATTATTATTTTTAAATTTATATCCAAGTTACTTAGCATATAGTGCAACAATGATTTCAGGAGTAGAGTCCTTAATGCCCCATATCCAATTAGCCCATCCCCCCTCCCACAACCCCTCCAGTACCCTCTGTTTTTTCTCCATATTTAAGAGTCTCTTATGTTTTGTACTCTCCCTGTTTTTATATTCTTTTTACTTCTCTTCCCTTCCCTTATGTTCATCTGTTTTGTCTCTTAAAGTCCTCATATGAGTGAAGTCATATGATATTTGTCTTTCTCTGACTAATTTCGCTTAGCGAAATACCCTCTGGTTCCAACCACATAGTTGCAAATGGCAAGATTTCATTCTTTTTGATTGCCGAGTAATACTCCATTGTATATATACTATATATATACTATATATATATATATATATATAGTATATATACACACACAATGTATATATATATATATATATACACACAATATATATGTGTATATATGTATATATACATATATATTGTATATATATACATTGTGTATATACATTGTGTAATATATATATTGTGTATATATACAATATATATGTGTATATATATACATATATACACATATATATTGTATATATATATATACAGTATATATATATATATACACACACACACACACACATACATATACCGTATACACACACACACACACACACACACACACACACACACACCCCGCACATCTTCCTTATCCATTCATCCATCAATGGACATTTGGGCTTTTTCCATACTTTGGCTATTGTTGATAGTGCTGCTATAAATATTGGGGTGCATGTGTCCCTTTGAAACAGCATACCTGTATCCCTTGGATAAATACCTAATAGTGCAATTGCTGGGTCATAGGGTAGTTCTATTTTTAATTTTTTGAGGAACCTCCATACTGGTTTCCAGAGTGGCTACACCAGTTTGCATTCCCACCAGCAGTGAAAAGAGATCCTCTTTGTTCACATCCTCGCCAACATCTGTTGTTGCCTGAGTTGTTAACGTTAGCCATTGTGACAGGTGTGAGGTGGTATCTAGTTGTGGTTTTGATTTGTATTTCCCTGATGATGACTGATATTGAGCATTTTTTCATGTGTCAGTTGGCCATCTGGATGTCTTCTTTGGAGAAGTGTCTATTCATGTCTTTTGCCCATTTCTTCACTGGATTATTTTTTTTGGGGTGTTGAATTTGATAAGTTCTTTGTAGAGTTTGGATACTAACCCTTTATCTGATATGTCGTTTGCAAATATCTTCTCCCATTCTGTTGGTTTCCTTTTAGTTTTGCTGATTGTTTCCTTCGCTGTGCAGAAGCTTTTTATTTTGATGAGGTCCCAATAGTTCATTTTTGCTTTCGTTTCCCTTGCCTCCAGAGATGTGTTGAGTAAGAAGTTGCTGCAGCCATTGCCTGTGTATATCTTGAGGGCAGCGTGGATGCCTAGATCTGGGAATGCGGGCCCTAGTTGTTGGGGTCACCAGATCTTATAAGCTGGCATTTTAGTAAAGGAGTATGGATTACAGAAAAATTCTACTTTTCTCCAATTTCTTTTTCCCTTGTGGCAGTTCAGTTTTAGTCCTATGTATGTGCATGTACATCTGCAAGCCCGTGGCTGTGATTATTATCAGCTCATATAGAAGTCTGCAGACCTTCCATTAGAGATGACAGTTTCACTGCTGCCATTATTGAAGTTGTGCTGAACAAAAGATATATTGCTCTATAATGCTCAGATTTTTTATTTTGCTACATGACATAGTATTGATCAAGTCTAAAGGCACCCACAGTCACATCGACTTTTTCTAGTGTTCCTGCTAACTTACTGGAAAGAGTCTAAATTAAAGAAATAGTGGTTGGCTGTTAGCACAATCTGTCGCTTAATTTTTTTTTCAATATTGCACAGACTTGGGTATATTCTGTTATGTTTTAAAACATTATAAACCAAGGACAGGGTCTAGGTTTTTTTTTTTTTTTTTTAGAATTATTCTTAGTGGTGAATTCTGGATTTCAAAGGCTACCCACATAATATGATCTCCCACATACCCCTCAAATAAGTTTCTTCCTTAGATTTCCCTCCCGCACTCCTTTCCTTCCTTCCCACTGGAATTCCTAAATGGTTATGTGAGATTTAAGCAGTTTACCATTTACACTTTACTTATTTCTTGAACAGGATCTCATTTTGTAAGTATTGCAAAACTGCGTAAGTCATCCTTTTGGGATGGAGTAGGAAAAGAGGTGAGGGTGTGGAGAGCAAGTCCTATTGTCAGGGTGTTACAATAACTGTTGGTTAACTTAAGAGGACTCCTTGAGGTAGAACAACTCACTTTTCTCCTCTTCTGCAGCAGTAAACATTCCTATAGATGTTCTAATTCTAACCTAGAGGGTTTGTAAGGGTTGTGAAGAGTGTAAATAAGGGGCAATTCCAAAGAAGCCCAGCTTGTATTATGTAGAAATCAACATGGTAGTACATTTGTATATGGGGAAGAAGCAGAGGATATGGGGTGTCAGAGGGACATGTATAGTATGGCTGGGGTATTTTGGGGCCTTTAAGAGTTGCCAGGATCACTGGGGTGATAAAGGTCCTGACTAGCTAGGACAGAGCTTCTTAGGGCCTGGAAACTTCCATAGAATGTGGATCTCATCCTCAGCACATGCATCAGTGCTTTACAGGAGATCCCATCTAAGCAGAGACCATCTGTCTACCTGTAACCCAGTTTTTAAGGTCCTAGCCACCTAGAAAGGTGTGCAGTGACTTAAGAACCCAATGTTAATAATCATGGCCCACAGCATATTTTGAGGTCAGAGCATGGTGCAAAATATTTCTTCCATTTCTTTTGGGTGCCTTTCAGGACAAATTAAGTTAGCCTTAGAAAGATACCTGGAGAGGCACCTGGGTAGCTCAGTTGGTTGAGCGTCTAACTCTTGATTTTGTGAACATTATCTTATTTAGTCTGTGTTCAGATTACCATGTTTGTCTCATGCATATTTTTTCTTTCTTTCTTTCTTTCTTTCTTTCTTTCTTTCTTTCTTTCTTTCTTTCTTTCTTTC